GTGCAGATAGTAAACCATTGCCGTCCGGATAGTAAACCATTGCCGGTACACCACTGGCCACCAAGGCTTACCTCTGACAACAGACTTCGAAATTCAGAGTCTATCGGCTATCGTACCCTCAACTTACCTATTCATTACAATTAAGCCCTAGCTTACCTAAAATTACAAAAAAACTCAAGAGCCCAATTCATTGGCCTTTCGGCACCCACCCCACCACCTACGTAATGCCTTGGGCTCCAACTTAGTAATTATATAAAACTTAAACCCTAAATCTATTAATGAGTGTGTGTTACAACGTAGCCTTAACTTACCTATTCATTACATTATGGCCCTAGCTTACCTAAAATTACAAAACTCAAGAGCCCAATTCATTGGCCTTTCGGCACCCACCCCACCACCTACGTAATGCCTTGGGCTCCAACCTAATAATAATAATGTAAAACTTAATAACTAACTTACCTCTCGATACACTTACAGCGTTTATTTAATTTAAATTACAAGATTGTTCCTAGAATTAAATGATTGCTTTTAACTACCTATGAAATTAAATTACTCTCAACCTTAGTAATAATAAATTAGAATGTGTAATAAAAATAAAATAACGCTCAAATACTAGTATGTGTTTATGTATGTATGTGTGTGTGTGAGTATAATACGCTGATGCGTGTAATGTGGGTGCGAGAAAAAATAGAAGAGATAAACTTACGCTGCCTACCTATTCAACTACATTAGTGTTGGATGCTTCCTATCTATCCTACCTACAATTAAAATTATGCCTATCTAACCTACATATATAGCTACTTAATGTAATTGTGTGTATGTGCGTGTGAGCATTCTTACTTAATGTTAAATTACAGAGAAAAACAGAGAAAAAAGAATAAAACGTATCCCAGCCAGGCGTCCATTCCTTGCCACTGAATGAACGAACGTAGCCTGACATCTTCCACGATGAATTCCTTTGGAAGCTTCAACCTGAATAAAATGGATGAAATGGAAAAATCTTATTTATTTGACTAATTTAAATAAAAATAGAAAAACGAGCCGCGGTGAATTCCGCCGGAAAAGCCAGTCAACTGGCAAAAAAAAGAACCGCAAAGAAACCGTAAAACGTACCCCAGCAGGGCGTGCTTTCTTTGCCACCGAATGAACGAACGTAGCGTGACATCACAACCATTCTGATCGTCCACGATGAACTCCTCTGGAAGCTTCAACCTGGATAAATGAACCTGAAAAACCTAAATGAATGGTAAAATCTTATTTATTCAGTTTAAATGAAAATAACCGCAAAGAAACCGACCGGTCGACAAAGAAAAGAGAAAAGAAGAGCAAAGAAAGGTATCTATATAGAATTTATGCTCTATATAACTCTATATAACTCTATATAACTCTATATAACTCTATATAACTCTATATAACTCTATATAACTCTATATAACTCTATATAACTCTATATAACTCTATATAACTCTATATAACTCTATATAACTCTATATAACTCTATATAACTCTATATAACTCTATATAACTCTATATAACTCTATATAACTCTATATAACTCTATATAACTCTATATAACTCTATATAACTCTATATAACTCTATATAACTCTATATAACTCTATATAACTCTATATAACTCTATATAACTCTATATAACTCTATATAACTCTATATAACTCTATATAACTCTATATAACTCTATATAACTCTATATAACTCTATATAACTCTATATAACTCTATATAACTCTATATAACTCTATATAACTCTATATAACTCTATATAACTCTATATAACTCTATATAACTCTATATAACTCTATATAACTCTATATAACTCTATATAACTCTATATAACTCTATATAACTCTATATAACTCTATATAACTCTATATAACTCTATATAACTCTATATAACTCTATATAACTCTATATAACTCTATATAACTCTATATAACTCTATATAACTCTATATAACTCTATATAACTCTATATAACTCTATATAACTCTATATAACTCTATATAACTCTATATAACTCTGTATAACTCTATATAACTCTATAAAATCTATATACCTCTATATACTCTATATAACACTTTATATATATATAATAAAAATTATTATAAAAGCAACAGTAATCAGTGCTATATATGTAAGCACGCAGTTCAAATTTTTCGGGGAGAATCAAAATAGTTTGAGACCACACCTTGCTTAACATCCGATTCCGAGCCGAGCCAATATGCATAGATTTAAAAGCGCTTTTATGTTAATATTTTGCTCGCTATATTTATATATTTTTTAAATTCATTATAAAAAACAACAGTAGCCATTACTATATATGTACGCACACAGTTCAAATTTTTCGGGGAGAATTCAAAATAGTTTGCGACCACACCTTGCTTAACATCCGATTCCAAGCCGAGCAAAGCCAAGCTGAGCCAAAATGCATAGATTTATAAGCGCTTTTATGTTAATATTTTACTCGCTATATTTATATATTTTATAAATTCATTATAAAAAACAACAGTAGCCATTACTATATATGTACGCACGCAGTTCAAATTTTTCGGGGAGAATTCAAAATAGTTTGAGACCACACCTTGCTTAACATCCTATTCCAAGCCGAGCCAATATGCATAGATTTATAATCGCTTTTATGTTAAAATTTTGCTCGCTATATTTATATATTTTATAAATTCATTATAAAAACAACAGTAATCATTGCTATATATGTACGCACGCAGTTCAAATTTTTCGGGGAGAATTCAAAATAGTTTAAGACCACACCTTGCTTAACATCCAATTCCACGCCGAGCCAAGCCAAGCTGAGCCCATATGCATAGATTTATAAGCGCTTTTATGTTAAAATTTTGCTCGCTATATTTATATATTTTATAAATTCATTATAAAAACAACAGTAATCATTGCTATATATGTACGCACGCAGTTCAAATTTTTCGGGGAGAATTCAAAATAGTTTAAACCACACCTTGCTTAACATCCAATTCCACGCCGAGCCAAGCCAAGCTGAGCCCATATGCATAGATTTATAAGCGCTTTTATGTTAAAATTTTGCTCGCTATATTTATATATTTTATAAATTCATTATAAAAACAACAGTAATCATTGCTATATATGTACGCACGCAGTTCAAATTTTTCGGGAAGAATTCAAAATAGTTTAAGACCACACCTTGCTTAACATCCGATTCCAAGCCGAGCCAAACCAAGCTGAGCCAATATGCTTAGATTTATAAGCGCTTTTATATTAAAATTTTGCTTGCTTTTTAAACGAATATCTCAATATAACAAATTCTCCATCCTATTTTAACTTTCTTTGATGCTTTTTAATCAGTCAGGTTACAAAAATCATTATCGATATCAAAATAAAATCAATTTGAAATTTTTTTTTAATTATTGATAAAATTTTTAAATTGTTGATAAAAATAACTAGTATTTAGTGTAGTAAAACGTTTAAAATTTTCTGAGAGAATTCACAATAATTTGAGACTACACCATAACACAATTGTACAATTTGAATGTGTAAATACAACATTATAAATGTATTATAACTACGTGTATATATCTATCTATTTCTTTATTTAGTTCTGCCTGTGTATGATATTTTGTCAAATTTATTTGATAGGAATTGAATATAACCTTCATACCGGCTGATTAACTACCATGCAGTAAAATAACTACCGTTGACACCATTTCCTCCAACGATTTCGCAACGAATTGCCCATACCATATAATTAGAATAAACTCTTTCAATCAATGTTTAAATTTTTATATTGTCATTTATTCTTTCGTTTTTGTTTCTGTACTAATTTTCGTGTCAGATACAATAATTTAGTTTTTAAGTAAATTTTCATTTTCGTAGCTTCGTAGTAAATTGGCATAATCAAGTTTTTATATGAAATACACATCAAGTATTTAATGTAACAAATAAATTAACAGAAAAATTTCTGGAAAAGTTTAAAAAAATTAGAACATATGACTCTGATCAAAAATCATTCGCGTTGACACTGCATTTGTATGGGCATAAGGCATATGATTATCTTTGGACAAATAGCTTACATCTTCCTCACAATAAGACATTAAGAAAGTAATCTTGTCATACCTGTTCAATAATTTTAATAAGATTGTTTTAAATAACTATTCTCAATGTCATTTTATTAACACTACATTAAAAGGTGGCTACAAAACATTGATGGTATGCCTGGAGTGATTTCTACAAACCTTATTGACTAATGGTGATGGGGATCCTCTGGAACTGTAGGATCATGACATTCAATCTAGTCATGGATTGAGAAATCAATCCTTGATTTATTTGATAACAAACATTTATTATAATATAAGAATGAAAAAAAGATGTAGGTGTAAGGCAAAATCTTACTGGAACTATTATTTTTAGCAATTTATGATTTATTTTTTTATTTATGACTTTATCCATTTTCAATGATACCGATATTTTTAATTATTATTATCCAAATTATACTCATGCCTATATAAATTAATTTGATTGTGGCTATTTCTATGCTTAATTATTTTATTTACTTGCCATAGGTATGCACAGCATTTAATTAAATAAATTAATGATAATAATTAATAACACAACATTCTAAGTGCATAAAATATAATAAATTAAAAGTATAATTTTTACAAACCTCATTGGTTATGGTGATGGGGATTCTTTAAAACTGAATGATCATGATCTAACAAGTCATGGATTGATGAATCACTGGAATCACACATTATATTTAATAAATTTAAAAATGAGGAATATTTTGTAAAACATTAAATGAAAAAAAATTTAGTTAGAATCACTCATAATTAATAAATTTTAATTAAATTGCAAGTTAGCTTGGGGAGTTTGAAGCTTGAATTGAACAAATAATAAAATTGTTTATTTTATAAAATTGATTGATAAGTTGTTTAATATATTTATTTAATTTAGTATATTTTTTATTCCCAGACCTAAGCATTGTAAATACAAATTTTAAAACCAATCAAGCAATAGAATTTAGGATCTTAGGAAGAGTTAGTCGTTAATTAACTGTAGTGGTTGGTAGTTTCTAGTAGTCTAATCTGTTAATGTTCGTTAGTGTTATCTGTTATTTATTTCAATTAGTAATTAGAATCAGTAGAGTTTAGTTTTAGCTTAATTATTAGGGTTTAGTAATTTAATTACTAATTAGTCGTCGTTTAGTGTTGTTACAGTTAATGAGTTAATTTTTTAAGTGTTGTTTGTTGGTGGTTCACAAAAAATTTTTTTAATTTAAAATACAAAAAGATACTTAACCGTCATACAGCAATATCTATCCTAAAACAGCATCTAGTACCTTTTAAAACATTTTGAAATTTTAAATAAAAGCAATATTCCGAAATTAGTAAATATACGATCGTAACTTTTGACTTGGGCGATGAAAAATCACCCTCCAATTTCCCTCCGGAAGTAGCTCCTTGTTTGACCGTCAAAAATGAGCGAAGGCCGTTATATTTATTCTAATTATGTTTTAGCTCTTCATCTAAACTTATTTTAAAACGTTCGCCATCTATTTTTAATGTTCATTTTGTGTAATTTATAAAACATTCTACGCCATCAGATTCAAGTTTTTGTTATAGTAATGAGCTAAACTTAAAATCCTCTAGACAATTTAACGTACCAACATCATACAAACTTTTCAGGTTATCTTAACTCACATATAAAGAAACTTTTATAAATATTATATTTAATCTAACCACCAAAATAGCAATCACAGAATCCCACATTTGACAAACAAACGAATAAATATATAATATACAATGAACAGTGAATGTTAAATTGTCTAATTAATTTTCTTTTTCTTCTTAGACTTTTGGCTAGGAGTTGTTGGTTTGTCTTCTTGTTCTATCTCACATTCAACTGGATTCACTGGTTGCCACTTTAAAGGATTGCGACGATACATCGGCCATGGTGGTAATGTCAACTAAAAAATCAAAAAATAAATTGAATGTTATATCTCAACAAAGCACTTATAAATATCACATGATGCCACAAGATGACATACTAAGTTAGCACAATCAAGCTAGAAAGGAGATTATAACTAAACCTTACCAAGCAAGAGAGAACAAATCCTGCCATGACAATGTAGAAGGTTTGAGAGAACTGCTGACATATGTATCCCCAGATAAATCCAACAATCTGTAACAGGAATAAACAATTTGTTCTTTACTTACAGAAAACCAATTGGTTGTAAAATGTAACAGGCCCTTAAAAAAAAATAAAACTATACTATAATATAAAGATAGTATAGTAACTATTATAGGAGAAACTCACACTAAAAAGCACAATGATGATTTGAAAAAACCACTCAGCTTTCTTTTGGCCTTCAAAATCCTGAAATTAAATTTACAAAATATGGCTTGAAACATTAAGACAGGACAAAAATAAAATTTTTAAAATATGTTTTTTTCATGCTCACGAAAATAAAAAAAAAACAACAGATGTTTGAAATGTTCAGTGAAGGGTGGAGTAAAAAAGCAAGGAGGGCAGACTAAATTTCACATTCTCTACAAATCGATGAATGACGAACGAATAAAATCAATTAACAAAACTGACAAACAATTAAAAAACTGACCATATACCAGGGAAGATCTTTCACATATTGCGGCACTAACTTCCAAGCGTAATGCCTGACGGTATCCATGTTTGTCAACCCGAGCTGAATTAATTCCGAATTCACTTTTTATCAAAATTCAGTGATGAGGCAAAGAAAAAAAAATGGTATGACTCGTCATCAAAATGAAATGAAATGAATGCAATTGAAAGTAGTTTTTTTCACACAGTTTTAAAAATTTTCACTATTAAAAAATTATAAATAAAATACTTCAATTTTTATTAATATTTAATAAGCTTTATCACGTATTTTAAAAAAATTTTAAGCGAAACTGGTTGCTAAGAAGAACAGAAAGTGGCGTCAATGACAACACGTTGGTTGGTCACGTCTTGAGGGAATATCGTGAAATAAAATGAACAAATATTTAAAAATAAGATTAATTGGGGAGGGTTCGTTTGGATCGGCTTACTTAGCAAAAAATAAACTAACGAATAAGTATGTAGTTTTGAAAGAAATTACCACAAATAAGGTTATTTATTTCTGATTGATTTTTTTTAATTAAAAAAAATTTAATGTTTAATCAATGTTATTGTTAATCAATGGTCTCTTGTAGTCTTTATTTATTTATTTATTATTTTTTGCTTATTTTCGTTTTTTTACTTTGTCTATGTTACATTATTATATGATTTTTAATAAAGTAAACCTTTTATAATGTAATGGTAATCAAATAATTTTCTTTATAACTATTCCAATGATTAAATTAAATTTTTAAAAAGATGTCAAAAAAAGAGAAAGATGATGCCAAAAAAGAAGTATGAATTTATGCACTTAAATTTAATTTAATAAATTGTAAGATTAATTAATTAATTAATTGAATTACTTTTTTTTAACAGAAGTTTTAGTTTGGTTAAAGATAACTTGTTTAAATTTATTTAAAATAAAACAGATAACAGTACTTTCCCAACTCAAGCATTCAAACATCGTTTCTTATTTGGATTCGTATGAAAGTATGCTTAAAACCAATCATTTGCACATTGTTTAGTATTTTAATAAACTTTTATATCTATTTCCAAAAACAATAAAAACGCATTTATTTTTTTGTACCAATTGATTAATTTAAATATCAAATTTATTTAAAGATTATGGAGTGCTGACAATGGTTATGGAATATTGTGCTGGAGGTTCAACATTTAATTTACACATTTTTGCAGTTTAATTGCAATTTCCATTTTCAAAATTTGTATTTAATAAATATTAAATTTAATTGTGTTAAATTTTATGTGATTTATAAATATTATAATAAGTTTATGGCAATGTTTATTCTCGTTTGGTTTTGTTTTGAAATTTAAAAAAGTTAATTTCTATAATATTATTAATTTTTTTTCTTAAGGAGATCTTGGGAAGAAAATTGAAAGTCAGAAAAATATTTTATTTGACGAAGGACAGGTTTAAAAGAAATTTAACTCGAAATTAACGCAATACTAAATTTTTCATAAACTTTTATCACATTTTGATTGCAAATGTTTTTGAAAAACATGTTGTTAATCATTCTCTACTATCATTATTTAACTTATTGATCATTATTATTCTTATTAATTAATTATTATTTCCTTTTCTTATCTTTCAAGATTTTGTGCTGGTTCATACAAATATGTCTGGCTGTCAGTTACATCCATAATAAAAAAATACTACACAGAGATATAAAAACACAAGTTCGTCGTATGAATACTCTTATAAGATTCATACACAGGCATATTTTAATTTTATAAATTTGTTCATTTATTTGATAAATTATGTTATTTATCTATGAAATTATTTTTTTCATTATATTCTCATTCAGAATTTATTCTTGACAAAAAATGGCGTAATTAAGTTGGGAGATTTTGGGATCTCGAAAATACTTGACAGGTTAATAATACCAAGTTTCTATCATTAATCAGCCCATGACGTGATAATTCACTTTGACTGGTCCCTAATAATCTACTGGAATATTTAAAAAAATATCAATCCAACCAATCAATGACCAACAAACCCCTAAAACCCACCTATGCAGTACGGTACAGCTGGTGAAGACGTGCATAGGCACCCCCTACTACCTCTCGCCTGAGATATGTCAGGGACTGCCTTACAACAACAAGAGGTTTCTTCGTTGTCGTATCAAAATGTTTATTTCGTTTTGTTCATTATTATTTAACTACCTTTTATATATTGATTGATTGATTGATCGATTGATTGATTAATTGATTGATTAGTTGATTTGATGATTGATTGATCGATTTTGATTGATTAATTGATTGACTGACTGATTGATTGATTGATTGTGATCGATCGATTGATTGACCGATTGAATATTACTTTAGCGACATCTGGTCCATTGGATGTGTCTTGTACGAGCTGACAACACTGAAACACGCGGTAAGTGATGTCGTCATTGCGGGTATTAGCGTCATAGTACGTCATATGTAATCTATTTATATTGGCGTCACGATGACGTAATGGTTAATGTGTGTCTGGTTTGTAGTTGGCGGAGATATTATAGTGATTGGGTTCTAACGCAAACTGATCCTCGACTATCACACGTAGAGTGTGTATTATTGTTAATTTATTATTATTATTATTATTAATTCATTATTATGATTATTATTATGATTATTATTATTATGATTTTAGTTCGAAGCTGACAATATCAACGATCTTTTGCTAAGGATTTCCAGGTTTTCCACCCATTTAATCATCATCATCAAAACTATTTTTATTATTATTTATTATTATTATTTATTACTATTATTTATTTGGTTTTTCTTTATTATTTTAGTGCCTCATATAGGAAAATTTCGCCCAAGTATAGCCATGGATTGGAGCATTTGATTTCCCGGTTGCTTAATAAAGATCCAATGTATGCTGTTGATGTTTGTTTGTATGTATGTGGTGTGTATATTTTCATCATCATCTCGTCATCATCTCTGTCATCATCATCTTCGTCATCATCTCTGTCATCATCATCTTCATCATCATCTTCCACATCATCTCGTCATCATCTCTGTCATCATCATCTTCATCATCATGTTCCACATCATCTCGTCGTCATCATCTTCTTCTTCCTCATCGTCATCAGATGCAGGCCGGGCTGTGACGAGATCCTCAAAACTCCCTTCCTATACGAAAAGCTACCCCTATTACTCAACGAAACAGTTTAGTGAATGTGTTTTTTTATGTTTGTCTGTGTGTGTGATTGTTTGTGTTTGTGTGTATGTGTATGAGTGTATGTGTGCGTATATGTTTGTGTGTGGTGGTGGTGTGTAGTCTCTCCCTTCCTCTCTCTCTCTCTCTCTCTCTCTCTCTCTCTCTCTCTCTTTTTCCGTGTTTGTGTCTGTGTGTGTAGTTTGTGTATAAAAATATGATTAAGATTTACGTTTCAGAAAAAAATTTTTTTTTCAGAAAAAAAATTTGGAATGCATAAGAACACTAAAGAAACAGCAGCGTAGTAGTAGATCAAACATGGGTAGCCATAAAATTAATATAATAATTATTATGATTAATTATTTTTATTATGATTTTTAAAATAATATTGCTACTATAATATAAGTAATTATTATTTATATCGCATTATTTCGTCATATCTAAATGGTCTTAACTCTTCTTGTAAAATATTGCCAAGTACCTTGCACTCATTAACCACTATTATGTCACAGTTACGTCACTATCGCGTCATAATTTTGTCATGATTACGTCATTTTAAAATGTTGACTAAACGATGAAATAGATCTGCTATCGAGAGAGACGATTAGGATGAAGAAGTTCTGCCATTCGCCTGTTACGCGTAGTAGCGCCCAGCACCACAAAAATGTTCCTTCGAAGAATTTGACGCCGTCTAAACATATACTCAACTACAACAACCACAACGACTACAACAACCACAACAACATCAACCACAACAACAACATCAACCACAACAACAACATCAACCACAACAACAACATCAACCACAACAACATCAACCTCATCAACAACATTAACCACAACAACGTCAACCACAGCAACGTCAACCACAGCAACATCAACAACCACAATAAAGACAATCTCAACAACATCAACATTTTGAATGGTTACATCAACATTTGCACCTCGAACAGCAGCAACAACAACAACATAAATAACAAACACAATAGCAATAATAACAACATTAACCTCAACAACAGTCATCACAATAACAATCTTAATGGCATCAACAACATTATTAATAGCATGGACGATAACACGTTGAAATTATACATCTCAAAAATATCACCCAAAAAGGTCTCAGTTCCCAGAATTAAAGTTAGTTATTATTTGTTGCAAGTTTCCCTGTGATGTTTTTTTCATTGCCATGATGTTTTCTAGTAGCACCTTATAAAAAATACAAATTTATTGGCATTGCTATTTACTGTTCAATTTGCATTTAAAAAATTGTGCGTGCTCTGTATGTATAAGTTTCTATACTAACCTTTTATGCAATTTCTTATTTAAGCAACAGAGACAACAGCTGCAGATGCATCAGCAGCTGCAAAAACGTCGGCTTCAAAAATCTATTTACGACAACTTCCCACAGCAACAACGTTATTGCTATCAACCTCGATCAATACTTAGTCCTGGCAACAACTTCAACAACAACAACTACAACAATAACCTAAATAACATCAACAACAACAACAATTTAAATAACATCAACAACATCAACAAAAACAACAATCTAATTAACATCAACTACAACAGCAGAATTTTTAGCAATAATAACATTGATAACAATATCAACGACCGGGATTTATATTCCCGGCAAAGCAACAACAACGACTACAATGTTGTCAACAACAACGGCAACAATCTTAGCAACAACGTCACCGACAACAGCAACACAAACAACAACAACAATAACATTAGCAACAACTACACGCCATCTCCAGCCAGGATTGTTGAATGTCAAAAAGAACTAGAACAACAGGTAAGAGATCTACAAATAATAATAATAATAAAAAATAATAATAATAATAAAAATAAAATAATAAGAATAATAATATAATAATGCCCTCGGCACTTTTCTAACATGACATTTTTTCATGAATGTTGAATTGGTTTGAATGACGTGTTTATATTTAAGAGAAATTCTTTCGCTGTGTGTGTGTGTGTGTGTGTGTGTGTGTGCGTGTTGTGTGTGAGTGTGTTTGTGTGTGGTGTATGTGTGTGTGTGTGGTGTTTATAATTCTTGTTCGAAATTTTGTAATGTCAGTTGCATTCTTATTTAATTTCTTCTTCTTCTACTACTACCTCAGATATTGTCAATACATATATGCTTTGTATAGTTTAGCCACCATCATGATGTTTATCATCATCGTTGCCATCATCGCCATAATCATCGTTATCACCATCAAAACCCAAATCACCATCATCACCACCATCATCGTCATCACCAGAGATACATGATACAGTTTAACCTGATAAACGAGCAGAACATGAGAGAGAGATACAACAACCTGCACCTCAAACTCAACCAGCAGAACATCAATCCCGTACGTACGTCTTTGTATTTATTGGTACTACTCCCCCTTCTTTCTATCTCAAATTCAACTCTAATCATTTCATACATTTTTCTATTTGTTCGTTAGTATTTTAAACTTGAACTTTGTCGTAAAGATTTGCTTATATACGTTGAAATAAATTAAACTTGAATCGAGTTGTTTGTTGGTTACAATTATCAGTATCAACATTATCGCGATCAGTATTGCTATCATGTATCATTGATACCATCATGTATCATTGATAGTATCATGTATCATTGATACTATGCCACCAACGTCGTTGTTATCATCGTCGTCATCGTCATCGTCCTTTCCATCATGATGGTTGATTATTTTTCTAACCAACCAGATTACGGGCATTGTGTTACCAAGTTCAATAGCCCCACTACCATCGTCATCATCACCACCACCACCACAACCACCGCCTTCATCATCATCAGTATATCCACATTCCTCCTCATCATCATCATCAATTCTTCAATTGTCATCATCACTATCATGTTCATTAGTAGTGATGTCGAATGCGGATGATGATGATGATGAGGAGAAGGACGACGATGATGAAGGTGTGATGAGAAAGAGTAAGCTGGCATCTATCAAGGTGATGATGATGATGACGTGTGTGAACGGTTATAGATGATAATGATAATAAAGACGATGCTGACGACGATGGACAACAATGATTAAGATGGTGATAGCATTGATGACGATGATAACGATGATGATGATGATTATGATGACGATGATGACGTCACTGAAAGGCCCGAGCAGACGCGAAACTGGCCAAGCTGAAGATGGAGCTGGAGATGAAGAGACGGGAGAGTTACGAGATGGAATCCATGAGGCTGTCTTCCATGAAACACGTAAGTTGCTGCTGCTACTACTGCTGCCGCTACTGCTACTACTGATGTGATGTTGATGGCTGTCTTGCAATGATGATGATGATAGCAACGTGTTGATGGTGGTGTAGTTGTAGGTAATTAGAATGTTGTACGCCAATAACCATTATAATTCACGAGAATGATGACAATGATGACGATGTAAGTAGCTATGTAGTTGTTTCAACAAACGTTCAATTTTTCAGAAGGTCGGTCCAGACGGTGACGTCATGAAACCTCCTTCTCGAGGTCAAAGTTTGGATGACGAAGTGAGGTCGTCGGAAATGGAATCACGTGATGGGAAGTCACGTGATGGAGTATCGAGCGACAGAAACGTGATCAGGAATGATAATCCCATGTGCGTTAAATGTGTGCGGGGTCTTTTTTTAAGCAAGTGTGAGATTACGATTAAACAGTGGTGATGATGATGACGATAGCAATAATAATAATAACAATAATAGTAACAACAAAAATAAATAATAATAAAATAATAATAATAATAGTAATAGCGATTTGGATTTTTCGATACAGGTCCGAACTGAGGAAGAGAAAGCAGAGCATTCTCAACCGACTGAACGCCAAGTTTAATTTCAAATCAAACAAATATAAATACCAACTGACTGATGACAGCAAGGAACACAGCAGTAGCAACAACAACCACGACAACGACAATGTCAACAACAATCGTAACAACAACAACCACAATGTCAACAATACCAACAACAACCATAACAAAAACAACCACAACAACAACAACAACATCATCATCAACAACAACAACCGCAACAATAACCAGAATGGCATCAACAATAACAACATTAATCACGGTGACATCAACGTTCACAAAGCCAACGCAAATAATAATAATAATAAAACTAATAATATTAATAATAACAATAGTACTACCAGTAGTAGTAGTAGTAGTAGAAGTAATAATAAGAACAATACTAACAATAATAATTTGAATTTCCCACTGGGAAATCCCGGCGTTAAAAATAGAAACAAGTGGTTTTTCCAAAACGACACACTTCTTAACAGGCTGGCGTCTTCCACTTTGGAGCTGGAAACTATTGAAGTTGGCGTGATGATGACCTTGGACGATGGCGTTCAACGGCAGAGAACTACAAATAATAATAATAATAATAAAAACAATAATAATAATAACAATAATATTCATAATAATAATTGCGATGATGATGATGATGATATTAGTAATAAAACTAGCGTTGAGAACGAAGTGAACGTTCATGATAATGATGAAATAAAGATCGTAAATAGTTGCAACGATGATGATGATGATGACGATGATGTTCATGGTATCACTGATGGTGATATCAATGATGATGATGGTGATACCAATGATGATGATACCAATGAGGGTGATGATGATGATATCAGTGATGAAAATGACGTCACAAAAAAGTCTACCGATTTGCGCGTACCGGCGGCATCAACTCAAAAACA